ATTAGTAGTGGGAGAATTCTAAACCCCATTTGTTCAATTATGGTCCCTTCAATATGCTTATTTAGGTTCTTGTAAATTGTAATCAGTAAATTAGACGTGCTGCCCTCACAGCTCCAGGGTTAGCTTTCAAGGGACTTCCTACATTATTTTTTTTTAATGTTTATAGTGAAATCAGGAAGGGAATTAGTTGCTTGATATGCAAGGTTGGCTCTGTGTAGTGGATGCTGCCTGCATTCTGATGTCTGTCATTACTAAGTGAAGAACAGTGGTTGTGATGCTGCAGCACTGCTGTCTGAGCAGGGAAATCTCGGAAAAGGCCAGGACTGTAACCATGTTATGTGCTATGTAATAAAAAATGGGAGCTAAACACATTAGAACGAACACAGGCTGATAAATGAGATCATTGTAAAGTCTCCAAAAGCCAGCATATGTTGCTAATAGTTATCTGACATGACACAAGAGGGATGTAAAATCCTCAGTATCACCTTCTATATACAAATACCAGCTCTGTCTCTCTCTGTAGTGTTTTTCCCCCTTTCTTTTCTCTGTATTTTGCCTTGGCAGTTTTAATATTGAGCATTTGGTACTAAACCAAATCACCTAGCTGAGTCATCCAGAGATTTTTCAATCCTTTTACCTTTCGGGGTGGACTCTCATTTGCATCACACAGAGACACCATTTTCCAAAGCAACACCTCTTCCCTTTCAGCTCATTTAACTGGATATTTCAGCAGGTTTGGGAAACAGGCTTCTCAGCCCTTTGCAAATGCTTTATATCTCTCTGTAATTTAAAGAGCCTTTTGCCTTCCTGAGAAGTGGTGTCTGGTTTTGCTGTGCAGATAAATTGTGTGTTTGTTGCAATACTAGATCATGCAAACTCCAATATCCTGACCATATTGTCCCCATTTATTTCTTTTATCTCTCTGTTTAATATAATAGCAATAGTGGCTGAGGCAGGGAAACATATGCGGCAACATAATAGTATATTGTTTGAGAGCAGTTGTCTTCCATTTCCAGGGTTTCTCTTTGAAATGTAATTGTCTGCTAATATAACTGGGAGATATTATTGCAGGAGTGATCACTAAAGTGTTTACTTGTGCTTTTAGTTCACGTTACAGCTGTGTAATATTTTTAAAAGAACCTGGATGCAATATTAGCTAGTTAAATATCCTTGGTGAGATATGTTTGTAGAAGTTGTGATAGGCGTATTGTCACCGAATGTGGTGCCAAAACAGGAATTGCTGTGTCCCATGTGTAATGCAGCAACAACAGAATTACAATTGCCTTGTGTAAAGTATCTGGTAATGAAGGCAGATAATGGAATTCTTTGCAAAAGCAGATGCTAACTGGTTCCCCAACGCTAGGCAGGCAACTGAAAAGTGATACCAGCTGGAGGGGAGAAAAAACAGCTGAAAAAGGCATTAGAAAGAAGATGCCTTAGATGCATGGTTTTTAAGCAATAAATACTTGTTTAAAATAATCTTATGAGGTTCTTATTAAGAGGCAAACTGAGACTACCATGACAATGTTGTAGGAAGTCAGCTGGATGCCCAAAGGATATTTGTGTGCAGATTGGATGAGTGAAGCAACACCATTGGGAATAGCGGAGTTATCATTTACAGAGTGAGTCTGCGAGGACAGCCCTTCCAAGGGTTTAATTGCAGGAGGTGGGATTGGGAAGAGCCAGAACCTTCTGTTGGCCAGGGAGGATGCAGCATGTGCTGAGGGAGGCTTGATTTAAAAAGCAGGGGTGTCTGTGCTTGTCCCTACGTGCAGAAGCATGTCCACACGAACGTGTCTCTTTTCCAGGAGCGCTGGAAATCAGTGCCCTCCTGCCAGGCTGGAAATAGTGCTCAGCATGGAGCATCTTCGTGGTTTCTCCGTGATCTTCCACTATTTTACCATTTAGTCACCTCAGCTGTTTCAAATAGTTGCTTTGGAAATGAATGTGATAATTTGAAATGAAGGGCCTAGTCCACACAGTCTTAAGCTCTGCCAGGGGAGATTTAGGTTGGATATTAGGAAGAAATTCTTTACAAAGAAGGTAATCAGGCATTGGAATGGGCTGCCCCAGAAAATGGTGGATTCTCCGTCCCTGGAGGTTTTTAAGATGAGACTGGATGTGGCACTTAGTGCCATGGTCTAGTAACCACGGTGGTGTTGGATCGAGGTCTCAGAGGTCTTTTCCAACTCATCTGATTCTGTGATGCCATGATTCCTTCTGTGCGAGTAAGATTTTTTTCAAACAAATAAGGCAGCAGGGAAGACCCTAAAAAAAACCAAACCGTAACAACCCAGCCTCTTAATTATAAATAGAAGCAATTTGATGACCCCTGGAGTTGATTTCTCTTTTTTGCCCAGATAAATTTTTCTTTACCCAAAGATTTGTTCCCACAGGGGTGGATTATGGCACAGCTGGAGCAGTGAGCTGGGAATCAGCTCACCAGCTTTCCAGTCCTAGCCCAATGCAGGCAGGCCAGAAACTTCAGTGGGACTCTGTCTCGTCTAAGGCATATGCCCTAACTACTAATTTTTAGAGGACTTAAACTTACTTTTAGTTTCAGCCCAGTTCAGAACAGGAATCAATGTGTACTTCTGAATTGCTAACATTTTCCCATATGAGAAAACTCATTTTGAGGAGGAAACACTGCAGAATTACAGACTAACTGGCAGCCTCAGAGGCACTATGTCTGCAGACAGAGGCTGGAGCAATGTGTGTTTGCAATGTCACAGGGCTGCTCCTGCTGGGGAATTTCAAGCAGTTTTACTGGCAAGCAAGAAATGAGTTTTGAAACAGTCTCTGAAGGTGTGCAGCTTCATATGTACTGCATTTAAGTGTGTGTGTTCCTTGCTTCTTCAGCTCTTTTCTGTGCATCTGATTATGAGTTGTTAAAAATATGCTTTAGACATGTTCCTTGCTCCTGGCAAGTGAAAGTGAGATGTGTTCCCTGTGTACAACGAGCAGTGGAAGGAATTGTGGCAGCGCAGTGATCAGTCAACAGCATCCCTCCAGCACTGATTCTTTGCTTCATCCACAAAAATGCAATCAATAAGAAAACCCTTTTCTACCCATCACCTGTTCTGATATGCTGCAGCTGTAACGAGTTATTTGTCTAATTGTGGTGGGCAGCAAATGTCTTAGTGCTCTTCGGGTCTGGACTTGCTTCATAGGCAAAGTACATTAAACCTTGGTGATGTGAATAAACCATAAATAAACATGCCTGTATCTCCTGTAGTTCAGAAGCACCATTTTCAAGACCTTTCCTCTTGCTGTGGTTTTTTTTTTTTTTTCAGGACATATCCTGCATATGAAAGAGAAAAAACAGCTTCCAAATTCAAGTAGCAAATCACACCTCTAATTATATTTTGACCCCATTAGTTAAGAAATATATTAAAGAATTCTGCAGCTACATGGATTACCATTTAATTCAGTTATATGAATTTTTTGGCATATAATTGATAGTAAAAAATGAGTTTTCCATTTTTTTAAGATATTCTGATTTTGTACAGACCTCTGGAGGACTTTAACAGCTTTGCAGGGATAACATCTCATCCGTAATATACACCCCTCAGCTTTTAGGCTCAGGCACCAGGGATTTTAAGCGGTAGAAAATGCCAGCCCAAAACCACAGCGATGGGAGAGCTGGTTCTTGTGTGTGTTGGTCTGAGTGCAGGTAATGCTCTTGGGTGCACCTGGGGTTGGAGATGGGAGGCTGCTCCCTTTGTCCCAGTGGTCTCTGCCAAGGCTGCAGCTGGAACAATTACTCAGAAAGGACCACTGGAGAGAAGAGCTTCTGGGAATGCCCCAAGTTTGGCTAAATCACCCCGACAGCACAGGGGATGTGGAAGGAACGTCTCTACTTCATCATCTTTCTTTTCAGCAGTTTTTATTCACTTTTAGTTGCCTCCCTCTCACCTTCCCCAGCTCTTTTCTCTCTTTCTTGTTGTCATGGGAACATTCACTACAGTAGTTAAATCGTACTATTAAAATATGCTTCCCCAGGAGAATGGTAGTAGCTAATATTGATCTAGCTCCTGCTGCTGACTCAGGGATATGGTTGAACATAGAATATCCCTTATTTCTCCTTTTAATGCATAATGCAGCAGTTTCTTTCACCTTGGGCTCTGTACTAAAGGTGACATCCAGCCACAGTGATATCCTTTGACTTGCTTCTTTAAATGTGTGACCCATCTGAAGCATGGGGTGCAGGTGGTGTTTTAAACTGGCTTTAAAATCTATAAAGGAAAAGCAGGCAGAAAAAAAAATCACCCTCACCATCAACAGTGATAGATGTTGGTAAAAAGGCATTCAGATTAAACTGTCAGCATCCACAGCCACGCAGTGTGCTCCAAATAACTTTGTTAATACATTGAGCTCTGTCACAGGGACGGTTGAAATTTAGATGAAAGACAAATAACCACCTTAATATCAAGTGAGGCTGCATTTAAAAGCGTAATCACTCATCTACATTGTCACTGACATCTGCTCTGCGTAATCGCCCGCGCAGCAGTACCTCGTGTTAAGCAGAGCATGGTGAGCAGAGTCCTGAGTCACCAGAAAGAAGGAGAAAGTTTTACCTTGCGATGTGAGTCTGCAGTACTGTTGGAATCATTAAGTGATTCAGTTTCCCGCAGTGGTTAATTAACCAGCTCGAACTTTATGAGAGTTTCCTGAATTTGATGGGTTTTGTATAGTAAAGGTGCCTCTGGAATTTCCTTGTTTATACTCCTTACAGAAAATTTTTGGTTTAGAACCAGGCTGTTGTACAAATAATTAAAATAGCGTGGGTTTAATGTGAATATTTGCAGCTGATGCTGCATTTTGCTGTGTGAATGATACACACACAGCAAACAGTATTTTTGAGTCTGTGCTGAAAAGACCTTTGTTAAAAACACTGTTTGCTGAGAAGTCGTAAATTTCTAGCATATTTGTATGTGTTCTTGAACATCTGTGTGCAAGTTATTTCATGTTCTAACGCATTTTACGTTTGACCTTCCTAGAAAAAATCAGGCAAAGATATGCAGATCTCCCAGGAGAGTTGCACATTATTGAGCTTGAGAAAGACAAAAATGGGCTGGGACTCAGCCTCGCTGGCAACAAGGACCGCTCCCGGATGAGCATCTTTGTAGTTGGGATCAATCCAGATGGACCCGCGGGACGAGACGGAAGGATGCACATTGGTGATGAGCTCCTAGAAGTAAGTGTTTCCTTTAGCTCCTAAGCAAGGCTCTTGAGCAGAGAGGGAGAAGCATATGTGGAGCCATCATTTGAACCTTAAATAAAGCCTGCAAGTTGGAATTAGGTGGCTGAGGGAAGGAGCTGTGCTGATTTATGCCAACTGAGAACTTGGCCTTTGGCAGGTAAATGTGTTTTCAGTGAAACAAAAATCATTGGCCTGTGAAAACTAATGTCTTGTCAGCGAAGTCTGTGCTCTCAGCATGTTCACAAGCTCTGCTTAGGGAGGGACTGTTGAAAGGCAGGAAGGGGACAGTAAATCCATCCTTGTAGTGCATATGTGGTTTTACAGGGAAATTCACACCTTACATTAAAAAAAAAAACAAAACCCCCTCAAACTTACCATATGTGTTTTTACAGATGACAGGGATATTCCCTATCCTGAAAATAAATTTCATGCTATAATCTGTTTAAAATACCTATTTTCTTTAGTTATGTCTGGCACAAGTTCACCCACGAGGCAAAAGAGCTCATTAGCAACAGGAGTATTTTGTCTTCACTTTTCTCCCATTCTCCTTCCTTCACCTTCAGACTGAAAGTGCAGCTTTCCTTCACTTCATCTGATTTTTTTGCTGTTGCAAAATGACACTTTGCTGTGGTACCTGCAGCGATTCCCCATGTCATGATTGCTTCAGTGGTTTAAAAAAATCATCCATCTCTGGGGATCTTCCCCTGAGAGAGAAGCTCTCACCGAAGAGCAGGGATGTGCTGACCTGCAGTTCTCCGTGGGTGGTGATGCTTTGATCTTTCAGCAACTCTCTGTGCAATCAGAAAACCACCTATTTTTTCATTTTTCTTGACTTGAGAAAGAGTGGTTTGACTGCCTGGGGATACCTTGGGAGTACTCAGAATTGGCTAAACATTTGTCATTGTCTAACAGTTCTGCAGTTAGGGTTTTTCAATACACATAATACAAGAAAGATGTTTTGATATAAAAACACCCCCATCTGAAATTCGTCATTTTCATTTTAAGTGTGAGAAATGGTATGAAGGTTTATACCGTAATGGAGTAGGGTAGGAAAACCACTTTCTCCTTCAAATTTATATTTTTCTATCCCTGACACTGAATTTTAATGAAAAAAAGGCAAATTGTTGAATTTTGGGTGTATACCAGTTGAAGGGACTCCCGGTACTGTTTTTCTCTGTGCGTATCACTGGTAGTTCCTGATAGAGGAGAAGATCTAATGTTAAGTAGTGCCAGCAGTACTTGAAAGATGCACCATCTGTGATTAATCACATATACCTCAAGGCTTGGAATTTGCATGGATGAGCCATGTTATAAGGAGCATTTTCCAAAGTGGTGGTGATGTTCTAATTCTCCTCCCTGTTAAACTGGAAATAAAATGATTTTTTTTTTTTCTTCACTGGAAGAAAAGTGAGGTTCTCCATCTCAAATATGCCAAACTTAATAAAAAGTTCAAAGAGACTTTAGGAACTGCCTCTCTTACAATCAAATTAAAGGTGTGTCACTGGTGGGCAAGAGAACAATTCCTGAGGTCATCTGGTCCAACCTCCTTGTTCAAACAGGGCCACAGTAAACCAGTTGTCCAGGACTATATCCAGATGATTTTCAATATCTGCAGTATTATTTCATGCTGCTTCCTTGCCAGGGATGCAGAGGTCAATGTGGTCAACTGTTTTTACTTGCAGTGTCTTTTACAACAAAGTATGTTAGAAGAGCATGAATGGCAAACTCGGGTGCTCAGAAGTGAGGAAATGATAGAATTCATATTTGATTCTCATCTAACTGCATGTTTTAAGTATATTTGCATCTGCATCTTTGATTAAACATCAGTTTTCAATACTGGAATGGATCAACGAGAGAGGGATTTCACATCTTGGGAAGCCTCTGGCATCTCTGCACTGTCCCTGGGTGCCCCAGTGAATCCTGTTGGTTAGTCTTGCTCCATTGCTACTATGTGCAGACTACTCCCCGTGGGTTTTGATGGAGTTAAGGTTAATGGGATGGAGTTAGAGATGGATAGATATTACCTGATCATTTTTCTTTTGAACTGGAGTTTGATTGGATTCAACTGAAGGATGTGCCTCAGCACCTTATTCATAAAATCTTTTGTCACTGAATTAATGAAATATCATCTCACTTTCAGCTTGGGCAAACAACAGTAATCTTCTGGGGGCATGATCCTGGCTTGTTTCCACAGCCTGTACATTGAGGGAAATGCAGGTCACATAAAAAAATTGTATGTAATCATTATTTTTTAATCATCTTCATCTTCAGTGATGTATTTTGGATGGTATGTGGCTGGAGAAAACGGTTTTTTGAGGGAGAAGGTCCTTTCATCATGCAGTCATACGTGGAAGAAAACTACTTAGGTCAGGATTTGGTCTCTGTGCAGAAGAACATATTTTTTACAGGGCACAAGTTCTGCTTTTCGGTTCTTTTTCCAAGCAGAGGAACCATCTGTGGTGTCCCTGCCTTGCACTCTTGCTGTTTTAGTGCAGGTGTCTGCACTGCTTCGGGTCTTATTAGTCTGGGCTCAGTCCTGCTTGTGATTGTGCCCAGCATGGCCAGCAGTGTGTTCACCTGGAGCTGTCCCTGTGATTTGAGCCCTGCTGCTCCTGAGCTCTGCATGGCTCTGTCCTGTTGGGAGGTTTTATTCACACTGCAGAATCCACCCTGCTATTATCATTATTATTATTATTATCATCTCTCCACAAGAGAGTCAACTGTGCTCTATTAATAAACCAAGCTGTTGAGAGCCCAGTTATGCTAAATTACTGATGTTGGGATCTGCTGCCATCTCTCATCCTTGATGAAGATGAGGCAGGAGGGGGAAGGAAACTGCTTGTTTACATGTGGAAGTTTCCCCGCTCATGGAAGGGGGGTTGGAACAAGATCATCTATAAGGTCTCTTCCAACACAACCCATTCTGTGATTCTTTGTTTTGTTCGATGAGGCCACAGCACTTCTTGTAAGAGTCGGAGCCAGTCTTCAGAGTCAAGAGTTGCCGCAAAATTTGCCTGTTGTCCATTCTGGATGTTGCCTGAGAGGCTGTTGTGGTTTTGCTCTGGGTCAATTTGCTTTCACACCCCCCACACAATTACTAGTAGTTGAGAGAAGGTTTATGCAGACAACAGAGACTGGATTTAGGAAAATAATATGAATATTTATTACTAGTAAAGTAAAAACTAAAAGGTACTAAAGAATTACATCTATAATAATGCTACTTAGGTAAAAGTATTAAGTATTTACAGAAATACTTCTCCCCCTTTTATATCAGTCCAAGGAGGAGAAGCAGTCCTTTTCTCTATTCTCGGAGTTCTAGCTCTCTCTCCAGTAACTCTGCAGCACTCTGGTCGCAGCTGGAACTTTTTTCTCTTTCTCTGTGTCGGCCTCCACGGCTGGGCCTACCCTGCTCCTGGGCTAAGACTGGAGGCTGGGGGGTTACCCTGGTCCTGAAGGGTCTTCTTCCATGGATTTACAAAGAGACACTTGCCTACCATGGATTTTCTTCCATGGGATTACAGGGGATAATGGCTTATAAGTCCACCCCTGTTCCCTATGGAGGTCCCTCCCACGGGAGAACAGTCCTTGATAGACCTCTCCAGCATGGGTGTAGCATGGATCCCTTACTGGGATCCCCACATCTCACCTGAGCCTTTCCTGCTCCAGCGTGAGGTTCTCATCCCCCTCAGGGTTATAAATCTTCAACAGCAGCAGCATGGATCTTTCACTGAGATCCCAACATCTCACCCAAGCCGTTCTTGCTCCAGCATGAGGTTCTCTCAGGGTCACAAAATTTTCAACAAGACTCTGCCTTATCTCAAGTCTCTCATGAAGTCTCGATTCTCTGGTACATCCACAAGCTCCTTCGTGAGCCGCACGTGGGGGGGGTCTCCTCACCCCAACAATCTTTTACAGGTAGCAGGGTTTTATTTCTCAGTCTTTACCCTGGTGAAGGGAGAGAGAAGGGGGGCTTCAGTGCTACACCTGCCCCCGGCCCAGGGCAGGGGGAAGAGGGGGCCTGGCCCTCCTCGGGCCCGCCGCCTCTCCTATATGGCTACTACCCCTAATTTCAACTGCGCAACCCACCTTCTCTTCCGTTTTCTTAAATATGTAATTAGCAAAGGCATTACTGAGAGTTTTAATTGGCTTCTTGTCCGGAAATCCACTTGGGCAAAACCATTCTCAGCCCCAGGGGTGGCCGGCTGGGCAAAACCATGACAGAGGCAATTATTAGTTTGGGTTTTTTTATGTCATTTTTTTGTCATAGCTCAAAGCCGGAGACATTTTATGCTAAATACATTTTTATTACTATTTTAAGATGCTTTGATAAATTGAAGTTTTGCTGTATAATATAATAGATACAGCAGTATATTGCCCAAGTAAATGACTTACCCAGCCAAATTCACAATGCCACTTCTGTTTCATAAAATGTGTTTTATTCTTAGTTTATTTGTTGTGGGATCCCTATAGAATCATAGAATAGAATCATAGAATGATTTGGGTTGGAAGGGACCTTAAAGCTCATCCAGTTCTACCTACCTCCTGCCCTGGGCAGGGGCACCTTCCACTATCCCAGGTTGCTCCAAGCCCCCTCCAACCTGGCCTTGGACACTCCCAGGGATGGAGCATCCACAACTTCTCTAGGCAACCTGTGCCAATGTCCTTTTAGTTTTTTCAGAGGAGGCTACAAATACTTTGTATACAGTTAAGGTTAGTTTTAGGTGGTGATTCTGAAGCTACAAATAGGTAAGGCTGTGATGGAAAAGCTGTTGTGGAGGAGGGCACAGGTTTTCCGACATCCTGTCTCTCTCTCCACACTCTGCAGGTGGGAAGCCACAGGGACCAGCTGCCAGCTCAGAGCAGGATGTTTTCTCTCCTTATGGAGTTTACGGTCTGTTGATCACTTTAGATGATGCACATGTTTGAACGTGTGCCCAGCAAGAAATTCGGTGAGGAAAGGGAAATTCACATTTTAATTTTTTTTTTTCTCCAGTGTTTTCCTCATGCTTTATTTTTTGGGAGCTTGGTTGCTTTATGGGGTTTCAGTATATAAAATTTGACTGATAAAAAAGTTTTGGAAACTTCTCCCATTGTTTCAGAGAGTTTGGTTGTATCTCAAAATGCTACAATTCCTGTGGTTAGAAGGAACCTCCTGCACGGGTACAAAGAAATAATTATTACAGAAAGCTATGCCAGTATTTTACTAGCTTTGGGGTATCATTTAACTTCATTTTCATAAAACTCAGATGATACTAATTTTATGGATTTCCATTACTGCCACGTAGTGAAAACACTGTGGGGTTTTGGTATTTTTTTTTAATATCCATATCTAATGTTTCTCTTCTGCAAATTAAAGTTTGAGAAGCAAACAATCCTTTAAATTTTTTCCTCTGAATTTAAGAGCTCAGATTTCCGTGAGTTTGTACTTTCTGCTACCTCAGTGCATGAAACTGTAAACCCAAACTTTTGTAGGTGAAGGCAACAGTACATTTGGGATATGTGATTAAATCTGCCATAAAGAAATGTGTGATTATGTTAAAGATTGAACTTATGTGCTGACCTGACCTCATACCTGTAGCATGGTTTTGTCTTTCTCTGTGCTCTGCTGACTTTCCAAGGGGTTATGGCAAGAAACATTTAAAGAAGAGTTGAGGTTCATTTAGATCAGTTTATTTATTTTGCTTATCGAAGCTTTGTTTTTCTTTACTAATCTCTAATGAAAAAAGTAAAGCACAGATTTATAGGTTTTGACTCCCAAAGTACTATTTGTCTAATCTGACGTGTTACTTTATTTAAATTGAAAGATTTAAAATCATGTTTCTTCTGCAATCCTAGATGTTCTCTTTTTTGTTTTATTTAAGTAGGCTTTTGTGCTTTGCTAATCACTGTGGTATCTACAGCATGAATTTATTTTGCGAAAGAAAGTGACCCTTTTAAAAAAAAAAAAAAAATTAATCCTTGCTGTAATAACTATGTGGGACAGCCCATAGCCTTGTGGAGATATATTACTTTGATTATGCTTTCATTTTGGTGTAATTAAATAATTATAACTTACAGACCCAGCTCACAGCTAATTAAATTTTGGACTATTTGATACATGTAGTGAATAGGATTAATTTAGCCAGAGTAAAGACTATAAATTTTAATCTAAGAAGTCTGCTGTTTAGAAGAATTGATGGTAATTTAACTAAATCCAAACAATTTGTAAAGCATACACTATTCCCAGTGAATAAATTATTCTTGAGCTTAGAGAAATTAAGTCAACAAACTCACTGAAAGTTTCAAGTTGAGCTTGAAGCCAGAATGCAACTGAGCATTTCTTTTTGCCACTGGATTTTTAAGTTTATCTTTGATGAGCAAAGTCTGGCCTAGGATGTTGCTTCTCGCCCTGTCTTTGCCACTATGGCAGTTGCAGACAAAACCATATTTAACCCTTAGGAATGTTGGCATGATGTTATTTCCTCAGTGCTGATAATTTCATGCCAGCTCAGGCCTTTGTGGACCTTTCATGGGTCCCTCTTTACACAGTAAATGACTTTATAGGTAGGTGCTTTGTACTTCAATCTCAATGACTAATCAAGTGTTAGGGATTTTATTCTTCTCTTGGCATTGTCCTTATTTAACTGATGAACTAAGATCTTGTTTTGACCCACTGAAAATAAGATGGAAGTATTGTGAAGTTCCCAACATGACCAACTAGCCCATAACATGACACAAGGCTGGAAGATTTGGCCAGTTACTTCTTGTTTGAATGAAAAAATCTTCTAAGATCACAAACCCAGAATCCAACACAAACATTTGCAGTAACAAAAATTCCTTCTATAATCACTAGTAAATTGTTCCTGGGCTCCGTTATCATTATTGTTTTAAACAGCATTGGTATATCAAATGTGAATGTAAATATTATGTTGTAAATTAAGAGTGGGAGGAAAAAACTGCAGTATTGAATCATGGAATTGTTTAGGTTGGAAAAGTCCTTTAAGATCATGGAGTCCAACCATTCCCCCAGCACTGCCAAGGCCACCACTAACCCGTGTCCCCAAATGCCACATCCATACAGCTTTTAAATCCCTCCAGGGATGGAGACTCCACCACTGCCCTGGGCAGCTGTGCCAGGGCTGGACAACCCTTTCCATGAAGAAATTTTCCCTAATACCCAACCTACAACTTCCCTGGCACAGCCTGTGACCATTTCCTCTCATCCTGTCCTTGTTCCCTGAGAGCAGAGCCGACCCCCACCTGGTTCCACCCTCCTCTCAGGGAGTTGCAGAGAGTGAGAAGGTCCCCCCTGGACACACTCCAGCCCCTCAATGTCCTTCTGGGATGGGGACCCCAGAACTGTCCCCAGGGTTCGAGGTGTGGTCTCACAGTGCCCAGCACAGGGGGATGGGCACTGCCCTGGTCCTATGGCCACAAAATAACACAAGCCAGGTGTCACTGGCCCTCTTGCCCACCTGGGAACACCTGGCTCATGTCCATAGCCAGGCTGTTTCCCTCTGAAAACAGCAGCAGTGACTTGCACACAGCAGAAGTGTCCAAAGTAGTGTCTGTTGCTGTGCTTTAAGTGTTAGATCCATCACAGCAAAAGTGATGTGGCGTGTCCTTAAACTGTCCTTCATCTGCATGACTGTCAGCTCTGTTTCCTTCAGCAGTGCTGAGGAGTCAGCACAATCTTAATAGCCAGCTTTCCTAAATGTCCAGTAGCCTGCAGGTAAAGTATAGGAGTGTCTGTCTAAGCATCTGTACTGTTGTCATCTCTCTGATTCTTCTCAGATCAAGTTGTTTTCTAAAAATCTAGGAACAATCCTTAAAATCCATTCTAGGGATCTGTGAAAAAAAAAGGATTTCTCTCATTTGTGGCTTACTAATAACTGTAAATTAGCTCTGCATTGCTTACTGTTTTGTATAGGTCTAGATTTTGCAGACCACACTTTCCTTGAGCCTTATCTCCTTTTCCCACAGTAAACTTGGAAATCTTGGTAGTATAAATTAAAACAAGGTGTACTTCTCCACTTACGTGAAAACTGTTTTCTTTTAACAGATAAACAATCAGATACTGTATGGAAGAAGTCACCAGAATGCTTCTGCAATCATTAAAACTGCCCCATCAAAGGTCAAGCTGGTTTTCATACGGTAAGAACAGTTCTCATCAAAACATTTGTTGTACTTTAGTCTATTACATGACATATTTACATATTTAGCCTGTTTTAAAATTGCTGAACTTGCTTAGTTCTCTTTGAAGTGGAATAAACTTTTTTCTTGAATGTTCGTCTTGGAAGAGTTCAAGAATTCTCCTTAGTAATGTAAAAAATATGAATCTAATGTCATTGAATGCTGATTTTAGGGGTGTCTGCCGAAGACTTGAGCTGTTCCTCCTGGGCTTTGGAGCACCCTGATTAGAGCTTCCTCTTCCACAACTTACTAAAGTGCTTTAGGTTGGTTCAGGATAAAGTTGAGGTGGGCTGTATGCTTACCCAGATTGCCAGGAGGGAGTGAAAATGGTTCAGAGGCTTGGGGCTGCTGGGAGAGGAATGGGGAAGTGTGGATGGAGCACTTTGAGCACGGACTGGGTGGAGAGGATACCTTTGTGTGGGCATCAAAAGAGGATTTTAAAATTGAGCTTGGACTTGTTTGTGCAGAGGGGTAGCCTGACTTTGCCAAGGAGCACTGGGACGGATTGTGTGGGAGGGAATATGCTAAAACAACCTTTCATCTGCATAAGAATTACATGTGGGCATTTTTATTTTGCTCCAAGCATGAAAATTTTTCCTCTTTGTATGTGAATTAAAGACACCTGCATACGTTCACTCAGAAGTTCAGGAAGTGTTGCTCTTATGACCCTGGGCAGGAGGTCTGGGAAGGAGCTGCCTCTTTCCCAGGACTCACATATGCTTTAGTACACTGGAATTTCATAAATGTGTATTTAAGAATAAATTCCAGCTGTGACTTTTGTTGGGCACTTACCCCCATGCCATTTTATAATGTGATCTTCCCACAGACATATACATCATACTTGATATTGTTTTATATTCTCTCTTCATCCACATATTCCCTGTGAACAATGTAATAATCTGTGGGTGAATGCATATAAATGTGTACATTTACTGGCATGGCTCTGCCTGGTACAGCATACACAGAAATGATGGAAGAGCAGCATTAGCACAGTGAGGAATGAGTTGCTATCCTTGGCAGCTCACAGGATCTGGAGGAGATTAATGATCTTGCCTGCAGCTCCTGTGTTACTTTCCCCAGCCACTGAAAATTAAACGTCACGTACCACAACTCACTCACCATTATTTAATTGCATGTGGAAAATGCGTCTGGTTGGAAGTTCCAGAGGCAAAACCACAACTTATGAAACCAAAACCCAAGAGTGTGGGCTTCTTGCAGTCTGCCCTGCTGCTCCAAGCACTGCGGAACTCCAGGGAAAAGTCCATGTTAGCTCCAATTGCCATGGATTGGAAATCCTCGGTGCATGTTTTGTATCGTGTTTAAGACATAAAGCCATGTAAATTCTTAGCTATAATTCCCCTTTTCAGATTGTCTGTGTAGCAGTGAATTGCAAGGCAAAATTTTATCTAGATATTGGAAATACCATTGGGTGATTCTTGTTTCCATCGCTAGAGTTTAAAAAAAAAACCCACCCAATTTCTACTTTTAAATGCTGCTGCTAAGGTTGTAAACTTCTATCTTCATACTTCCCAAGAGCACACACATCTTGTCACTGCTCTTGGCCTTACACTGACAACTGATGTGTCTGTTTGCTCAACCCAAGCAGCCGCTGGAACAGCAATGAAAAGGAATTCTCCCACTGAGAGGATGTCATTTGTAACTGGAGCACTGCCTCTAACACAGGGAGAAGACTGATGTCACCTTGTTTCTTGATGTATGGTTAAATTTTAGCAAAGCCAGGTTAGACTATCTCTCTTAAAAATGAATTTTAAGGAGAAACAAGAATAATTTTCTTTTCTCGTGCCAACTGTGTTCCATGAGCCGAGTCTGTCTTGGTGCCTCCCATTCCTACACCTTAGACCACAAAAGCAGTGGATGTTACTGAATGAAAACACGGGCTGTGGCAGTCCCAGAAGTCTTGTCCATGGTACAGTTCAGTGGAAAAAGTGGGGTTTTTGGCTTTCTCAACTCTAATATAAAATGGAGATATTGAAATGCCACTACTTAACACAATGTGGTGCCAGTTGGAGTAAATAAGAGCAGCAAGAGGCATCTTGAATCTGCATGTGCCTTCAATGGCTTTCCCAGGTGTGAACAAAGTGCTGAGTGTAGCAGGCTGAGCTCTCCTGGTAGGTTTTGCTGCTTGGCTGGTTTCAGATATGTTCCTCTGGGCTCTAGTGATGTGGAAAGAGCAGGATACCATTACATCTGTCATGTTTTGAAAATGATGGAGCCAGTTGCAGCAGAAATACTACTGCTTTCCTCCTCCTGAGCACTGTTACCCCTGAAGCTTCTCCTAAAGGTAGAAGGTGTGTAGAGTAACAGCCAAAACACATCCAGGAGCACAAAGAGGCCACAGCTCACCATAGCAAAATAACATGTACTGCAGAAGCTGTGAGAAAAATCAATTTGCTCTTCATGTGCATGAAGTTATTAATATTTTCATTTCACCAGTGAAAGGCCTGAGTAGATTACAGTTTTACAGAAATATGTCAGTCTGTAGCCTAAAAGGTTCCTGCGTGCCTGACTGAGCTGACCTAGGACATAAAAGCCAAACTGGTGAAACTCTTGGTCTATTCCAAGTGCCCTCTTTGACACCCTGAGGCCTTATTTTCCTGAGATGAAGGATGCTCAGCAATAAGTGTGATGCTTTTCACTTTGAAGAAGGAAACAGCATCAAGGTTTTTCCTATTCCTGGTGTTTCAGTTCATATGCAGGGCAGGGGGATGTTTCCATAAACTCTTTAATCAGTTGTGAAAGAAGCCCAGAAATTCCTGGGCACAGAAAAGCCTTTCTGTGAGAACTGTAATAACTATTATTAAATAACTTAAGAGAATCACAGAATGGTTTGGGTTGGAAGGACCTTAAAGATCATCTCGTTCCAACCCCAATTTTTTTTTTTTTCCTAGAAAAAGATAAAGAATATAAGGTGACCTCAGCCTTTTTGACTTTTTACTAAAATCCTGAGTTATGATTTGTGCTATAAAAATCTGTTCACACTTTTTTATACTCAGGTAGTGTTACAATTGCATTCCCACCCTTTCCTGAAATTTTTGCTGATGAGACATAGTGCAGTAACTGTTGTGAGAATCACAGATGTCCCCCTATATTTGAAGGCTTCTCACTCTGGTTTATGAGCATCTTTTCCTCAATTAAGTTGATGATGATTATTTAAAACAGTTGATTTTGGCCAGATTCCAAAATATAGGTCTTAGCACAGCCCTGTTTCCCAGTGGTCTCATTAATTATGTGAGCTTCTAAAAGCATCTAAAAGATTTGCAGTTACAGTGTCACTTTTTTTTTTTTTTCAGTGGCAGTAAGGGTTGTAATGTCTTAGTTACCATTTGAAATTCTTGGTCTAAGTTTGCAACTGGAATTAGCCAGGTAATAATATCAGAAATTGGCTTCCTTCTTGTAGGAGTGTCTGTGCCCTAGTTCCCAAAATAGAAAGTGTTTCTGTCTGTTGTGGTTTTTGTTCATGCATTGTAAGTCCATCCTTGTAAGATGCATAATAAAACAATGTAATTAGATTTCACATCTGTAGTAGGAAATCCAGTTTATATCAGAATGCTCTTTTACAGGGAGAATTTTATGATTCAGCAAATTCAGTGGTTTTTTCCATGCTCAATTAACTGCCTTTAATCTGGTTTAGTGCTTCAGTGTTGGTATAATAAGCAGATCAAATATAGTTGAATGCTTGAATCAAAGTGAATGCCACTGATTTCAAACCATCCTCCCATTGTGTTCAGTTCTGTGAGTCACTCTTTGGTCTACCTTTATTCCTTAAAAGAAAATTGTCTTGTACTGTGATGAAACATGAGAAGTGCTTTCAGAGGAAGGGATTTTGCTGATTTAAATACCATCTGTTTGCTGTCCAGAGCCCTCCCACACTGCAGTCATCATTCTGTTATCATTGCTTCCTGCTGATGGGATTGTAGCTCCTTGATGAAGCCCACAAATCTCTGTCACCCAACCCCTCCTTCCATTTCCAGGTGTAATTCTAAAGACCATTCTATTACTTGTGGTGGCATGAAAAGGAGAGAGATCCTTCTACTCCAGGGACTGGGGAACCCAAGGCAGTGTCTGGGTTGTCTGTTTAACACTCCCCATTGGTGTGACTTTGTCCCTGGTCTTTGCTCTTCTTTTAAAACCTCTATAAGTAACATTTTATATTATGTACCAATCTCAAATGCTGTCATGCTTTAGAAATTATTTTCAGTTTGTTCTAACCTACATAACCCTGTATGGGCCATGCACTTAGAAGTTGGACTCAATGATCCTTGTGGGTCCCTTCCAACTGAGAATATTCTGTGATAATTTACCATAATTTAATAGTATAAACTCTGTTTTTACTTGCTTTGATTGCTTAGGTTCTTTCATGTGGGAAAGCTTAAAAAGTAAGCCCTTGCCAGGCACTGTGTGTGCAAGTTTGAACATTTCCTGTTTTCTTCAGAGCTGTTTCCTCCTCTCTGTCATACACATGTGGGAACAAGCACACAGTTGAGGAAGTTAAGTAATTTGGGCTCTTTCAGACCTTTGATGACCTAAGCTATAGTTTATATGTACATTAGTTGTTCATTTAAAATACCTGGATGCATTTGGCTCTCACGTAGTTAGGAGTGGATGTATAGGAAATGGAGAACAAGTCTGTTCTTGCTACTAGTAGGAGAGATTTTTTGAGAAGATGCATAACACAAAGGTCTTTTTGACCCAGCTGAAGGAAAAATCCACTGTGGCTTCTCAGTGTGCAGCTTTCCTGCAGCTCCTCTGTTCCAAAGGAACTTTTAGAGGGAAAACAAAGATCAGAAAATGCAAGATCCTGCCCTGATTTTTTTTGTGTGTTTTTTTGGTTTTGTGTTTTTTTTTTTTTTAATTAACAATCACAATGTGAACAGTATAAGTTTTCAGTAAGTTGCAGGACTTTATGTCCTCGTGTCACAAGCAGTGGGAGTTCTAAGGCTTACAGAGCAAATGTTTGTTCCCTTCATCCACAAATCTGTTCCAGTAAGATGTCACATCACTTCATACAAGGGATTTTCTTCTGATCCTTCATGTACTTTTTATTCCCAAAAAGCATCCACAATCACTTGCAAAGCTGTTGTCAAACGATCTCTTAGTGTTGATGAACTGTGTAGTTGTAGATAGTTTGGCATGAGAATTGTGTCCCTTTGTTTAGACATCTAGAGGACATCTGGACTTCTGTGATTAGTCAGCAGTTGTCAGGAGCCCCAAAGAGCAATTCTATTCATCCTGTCCTAAATTAAGTCATTTAGGTGCTGGGATTGCCCTTTTGAGTCGGTCTGGTTTGGGATTTCACTTGATTTTTGTACTGATCATAGAAGTTTGGATGCTCTTATAGGTGAGGTGCTCTGCTTTAGATGGGCAAGGAATCTAATTCCACATTAAACAAGGATTTTCTTGGCGTTGCATGACAGTGAGCTTGTACCACCACAAACCTGAGGGAGGTAAGAGTAAATAAGATGGAAACCAGAAAATTTTCACAAGGGCAGCAATAACATGACAAGGGGTAATGGCCTTTAGCTGAAGGAGGGAAGATTCAGAATAGATATTAGGAAGGAATTCTTTGCTAGAAGGGTCGTGAGGCACTGGAACAGATTGCCCAGAGAGATTTTGGACTCCCCATCTCTGGTTGGATGGGACTTGGAGCAACCTGGTCTAGTGGAAGGTATCCCTGCCCTGGAGTTTGTGGGAGGAGTGGTGAATTCCTTTCCTATTGAGTTTATATGGTCCTGAAGAAATTTAAACAGCTCTCTGGTGCACAGGCTTACCCAGGAGGTGGGCTGCTGTCCCAGTATCAGATAAAACCAGTCTAGGAGCTGGAATGAGAGCCACGGATGTTTGTAATTTTTGCAGGTAATGGAGGGGGAACATCTAAGCCTTTGTGCTGTATAAATTGCATTTATGTTGCTTTGACTTGAGAGTATAAAGCTGTGTCTTGACTGTGAAGGTTTTAGACACCTTAACCCCAAGCAATAGTGAGCACTGGTAACTGAGAACAGCTTTTTTGGAGGTGGTTATGGAGCAACTATTGGCAAATACATTGAATTCTCATTTGCAGTCACTGTAATTTAAATATGATGTTCAGACTTCTAAGCTGTCTGCTCCTGCCTCAAAAGAAAATGATTACTCCTTTTAGTTGTAAATAAATTCACATTTTAGTTGAGGACACTTACGGAAGTGGAGAGCAGAAACAGCAATTTATTATTAGATCTGTCACTTTAAAATATGTTCTCACTTTGATTCTGCTTTGAAGCATTCTCCTTTGAAGCAGCATTAAAGTATTTAAATATGTACGAGTCCTAGCAGGGGGAGATTACAAGTTGTGACACTGTGTAACCTTGGGGGGTTTTGTAATTTTTCCTTTTTTTCCCAGGGAATTACTGTAAGTGGTTTTTTATTGCTTGAAATAAAAATGGCCATTCATTTAAAGCTGCATAAAGATATTTTCCCATTGATAGAAAAAGAAAAAAAAAGTGTATCTATACGAAGTCCAAACCAGTTTGGATAATTAATTACACCCCAGTTTTGTCAGGAGCTTCTGTGTAGCAATTTTTAGGGTATTTCCTACAAAGATTTATATATATGTTGTTATTTTCATGTTTAAGTCTAATTGTGAGCTACACAGTGGGGTTAGTTTTCATGTTGATTGTGCTTTATATAAACTATTATCAGAAAAACCTCTACAGTCAAGGAAAAATTGGGAGGGCTCAGACACCTCATGTGGGATGGTTTATTCTTGTAGGTTAGAAAAGCAACATAATGAGATCGATGTCTCACGAAGATAAGAGGAGGGAAAATGTCCTTGCCCAATATGCCTGGCGGGGTAAAATGCGCTTGGAAATTGTGAAATGCTGATGAAATTCCTGGGCTTGGTGCCGTGCCTGCCTCAGATGTGTGTCTTGGCCCCGTGTCTCTGCGTCGCGAACCGCGCCGTGATCTGAGCGTGGTTTCCCACTCTCGCAAGGCTTTGAGCAGGGCCAAGAGGAGAGGCTGGGAGCGAGTACAGAAATGAGCAGCACCCAACCAGTCCCTTTGAATTGTGTGGCTGTTTGGTTGAAGATAAGTAAATGAATTCACCAACCTTTGCCTGCAGGATTTATCATTTCAAATGCCTGTGACTCCCATTTGCTGCTGTGCTGAGAGCTATTGGTTCACAGTGTTATTTCTCAGTGATCAGAACATGATTCTGTTTATTAACTTCCTGTGTTTTAGCTTCATGTGTTTAACTCTCCAGGGATAAAATAAGACTTCTTTTTTTTTCAGGCACTTATGTAAAATGTTTTTAAGCACATACTAGTCTAATAGCTTATTCCAGAAATTAAAGAGGAAAAAATCCTGCTCATGTCACAGTAACAGGACCAGAAATCAAACCCAGAAGACCCACTGCATGAAAAGTCATTTCCTTTCATCTAAGAAGCTGTGAAGCAGCAATATTGCTGATTCCTCTTAAAAAGGGGGCCTACAAAAAGGTTGGAGAGGGACTGTTCGCAAAGGCATGAAGTGATAGGATGAGAGGGAATGGCTTTAAGCTGAATGAGGGCAGATGTAGATTGGATATATGGAAGAAATTCTTCCTTATGAGGATGGAGAGGCCCTGACACAGGTTACCCAGAGAAGCTGTGGCTGCCCCATCCCTGGAAGTGTCCAAAGTCAGGTTGGATGGAGCTTGGAGCAACCTGATCTGGTGGAAGGTGTCCCTGCCTATGGGAGGGGATTGGAAAGAGATGAGCCCGAAGGTCCCTTCCAACCTAAACCATTCTGTGCTTCTATGATGATTTGCCTTAAATGATATCACTAAAGTCATATATTACTTGGTTTCATTTTACAGAGGCCAAAAAAAGGCAGAGCTAATTCCACAAGCCCCATCATTTTAAATGGCATTTGAGGAAAAACATTAGCAAGGCAGAATGCTGTTTAGTGAAAAAAAAAGGCTTTTGGAAGTCACAAAGTAATCAAATGTCAACTTCAGAAGCATTTTAAAGAGGAGAAAGGAAAAGATGCCATACATCATAAGCATCTTGGAAAAAATAATGCAGGAAGAATCAATGTTCATCTCCTTTTATCCCTGCATTTCATAAAATTTATTCCAATTTTTTACATTGAATCTCTTAGAAAATACCACAGCAAAAATGAACAAAAAAAAAGAAAAAGCAATCTAATATATTACAACAGGTATTGTATTTCACTAATGTGGATGTGAGACTATAAACAAGCTGTTTGCTGACATGAACACCATTAGAAGAGGCTAACTAAGTGTTAGCACATCTGTTGATGTGTAGGGACCATAAACTCCAACTGCATTCTCTGCTAATCCACACAAAATCAGATTTCCAAAGGATGTGATGTCAGCATGTCCCATATGAAAATACTGTGGTCCCCAAAAGGGATATGTTCTGTTTGCAAGCGAAGAAGAGCCAAAATGAAGTGCTTTTCTAAGCTTTAACTCTGGTAGGCAACAGTGAATTTTTATGCTACTGAGAGTATTTTCTTAGTGGGCAAGACCAACTCTAAAGGAAAGTTTGTTCATGATGGTTTGATGTGTAACATGTTCTTTGTTGTTCAGGAGTGAAGATGCAGTCAATCAGATGGCTGTTACTCCCTTCCCATTACCTTCAGGCTCCCATTCTTCCATCGAGGTAAGGTTTGTGGGTTGTTATTTTTAATTAGGGATTGCTAAATTAGATAGATTAATCATAATTAGCAGCTCATGATAAGTTTGAACACCTTGTCTAATTAAACCCTGAATCATAAAATGCGTTGGGTAGAGACTTGACCTAATAGGCTTATTTTCCCCATCTCTTCCTTATTGATCTAAGTGTTACTGAAAGGCATTAGCAACAGATGTTAAAGATGTTATTACTGTACAGGAGGAAGTGAAGGCTCCAAACTAAAACCTTACCATCTCCTAACCTGCTCCTTTTTCAGCTGGTTAGAGTAGTCGTGGTGAGGAACTTTCGCCTGGAACAACCTTCCAATGCAAGAACTATTTAGTTTAGTAATGTTACCAGTGTTTTCCGTCATTAGAGTTGCTACCTCAGCCCCAGTGCAGACTGATTTCTCTCCTGTGCACCGTGGATCCCTGCAGAGTCACCACACTGTTATTATTTTGACATCTCAATGTGGTGTAACTAAATTTTCTAGATAAACTGCCTGGTTAGCCTTGCTGTTGCTTTTTAATTCTATTTCTATTTGAGCTAATAAAGCAAAAGATGCTTTATAATTAAATTGAGGTTTGGTCTTGCCTTGATAAATTCATGTGCATTGAACTCCTGGTATTTCCATGAGCATCACTGTGATCCCTCAGCACAGGTCCATGTGAGGTAATGCTGGATGCTTCTCCTGCCTGCATCTCCTTGCTTGCTGTTGCATTCCAGGTTATTTTACCACTGATGGCTGTTCCATGCAGGCCTAGTGCTGTACAGTGCAAGAACTGCTTAGATTTTATTTGTATCTGAGTAACATTTGAACATGCTTTGGCTTCTCGCTCTCCCCTCCATCCCAGAAGCAGGTCCCGGATGCAAGGGGTGCATTGCAAATTACTCTACAGTTTACAGAGTTCATTTTATTTTTGTTGACTCTTTAATACCTGCATTTGTTCCCAGCTTTTTTTAATATTTGTGTCTTCAGGATGAAGCAGGAAACTTTTTAGGCACATTCTGTGCTGTGGTCAAATGACTGTAATTACACTCTACCAAAGTCTGTGTTGTGTTTGTCTTTAGAGGGAGATGCTTGTGGGTTGAGTTTCATGCATTAATGGCAAACTCTTACTATTTACATTATGTTTGTTTTATAAGTAAATGCAGGTTTTTACTTCTAGCTAGTATTTTTTTTATTATCTAAAATAAATGGAACCAAAAATAGTGATGTTGTATAGAAGTATGCGTTGCTTTCCTTTGGCAGCTCTTCCTGTCTTTAAATAAAGAAAAAAAAACCCTTATATCCTGAAATTATATCTTCAAATGTCTTTGAAATACCGAATAAATATTTAACATTGTGTCTTACATGCACCCTACGTGTAATTTGTCAGATCACATTAAATTGCCTGGCTGGTGTAATGGAATATCAGGGTGCCATAGTTACCATCTATTATTGTGTTAGTTTTCTTCGTCTTATCTCTTTATCTTCGTCTGATCTCTTTATCTTCATCTTATGCACTTCAGTGTAAAATGTCTAATGAAAATTCAGAAATAATTTTGTTTCTATGACTGAAGGTATTAAGAATTTATTTTTTACACATAGTTCATTTTGCTTTGCAAGAGAGAACAGCTCCAAATTTGGATCAATTATTTTAAAATTAAGTAAATCAAAATAATAGATAAAAATCTTTCCAAATTTGGGACCTGGTTGGTTTAAAAAAGAGAATGAGAATCAACATGTTAAATTTTACGTGTAACTGAATTAGTGATACTTTAGACTAGGCAGGTTTAGATGGGATATTGGGAAGAAATGGAAGGTGGTGAGGTTCTGGCACAGGTTGCCCAGAGCACCATCTTGGAGTGTTCAAGGCCAAGTTGAAGAGGATTTAAGCAACCTGGTCTAATGGAAGGTGTCCTGCCCATAGCAGGGGTGGAATGGAATGATCTTTAAGGTCCCTTCCAACCCAAACCATTCCACGATTCTACCAACCTGTTCGAACTGTGTGAAGTAAACTAGGCTTCCTTTAATGTGCTGACCATGAAACAGAGACCTGGAGAAGGCTTCTTCATACATCTCTGTTTAAAAACTGTTGTTGGTCCTCTCCCCCAGGATCACGGTGGCACCGAACCTGCAAGCGGTGAAGAAGACCCGAGTCTGGAAGTGGTCATGAAAAGTTTGACTGATGAGGAATCCTGCAAAGCTGTAAGAAACTTAAAACAACATTTAATCAGTGATTAGAGCTTAGAAAATGGAGGCTTGATTGCTTTTCCCTGATTTTTTATTGGAGTATTGCTGCACTTATGTCAAAAAATATCCATTATATGTAAAAGCAAGTTCTCAGCTTTACATACACAGACTGTTTTCATGAACTAAGCAGTCAGTATAATTTGCTAAAATATCGAGATAAGCGTTTTCATGTAGCATTTGACCCTTTCCCGGGTTCTTAGTGAGTGAAGGGATTGAGTTTCCACTCCTGCCATCCATGTGTGACAAACTTCAGAAAAAAGCCTGGTCTGTAAATCATATTCTTATTTATATTCATAGCTTCCTAAATTCTAAGGCCAAAATGTCTATTATCATAATCTAGTCTTGCCTCCTGAATAACACAGCTATAGAGTTACTCTCAGCAATTTCTACATTAAGCCCATAACTTGTGGTTTAATGTGGTTCTGTCAGTGTGCACTGTAATAAATACCCAACTTCTCATTGATACAGATGGAGCTTTTTGTTGTTTAATAGGTCAGGATTGTGCATTATCAGAAATCTGAAAGTCCTTCAGGGTGCAGCTCTAATCTCTTTTTTTTTGGACTCTATGTTAAATAAAGTTTAAAGTGGAAAACTACTAAACATAGCTAACCTAGAGGTGCCTAAAATTTGCTGAGGCAGATTTTTTTGCCCTACTCCTGTTTCAAGGAATGCATTGGCTGGGACTTGCTGTGCCTGCACAGTCTGTATGTGTGTCCTCAGCTAAGGAAAGCTGACATTTTTGGATGGTTTTTCTCTTAGATGTTTTCTTCCTGCCCCATCATGTCTTTCACAAAGAGTGTTCTGGGTTTTGCAAATAAAAATTGAATATACATAATGTTCTGTAGCTAGTAAGTAATTAATGAGTCTGTGAACTCCAGGAGTTAGAAAGTGTTATGTGCTGTTCAGTCATCAGAATTAATCACCCATGGATTGATTTATGTTCCTAATGGATTACAAAGAAGTTGAATTATTGCTGTTTGGTAGCTTTGTGCAGAGTCCTTTGATAGGCTGGAATATAAATGAATCAGACTTTTATTGTATGTATTTACAGGTGTTACTCACCTGATTTTATTGATGTTCTTGCTCAACTTGGCAAGAAACTTTAGAAGAATTACAAAGTAATATGAGAAATTGCTCAAAGACTGAAGTGGATAAAAATATATAAAGTTTCTTATACAAAAATGAACTCTTGGTATAAACTATTGTGCTATGCAGCTTTTTGAAAAAATTAGAGGAGATATGAATTCAATGGGGAAAAAAATTGCAGCAATCCAAGAGAGGTGTGGAGGGACAATAGCTCTGGAACAACAGGAAACACAGTATATATTGGCAGCTTCTTTTCAGACTTGAAGCAAGAAAGAAGGGAACTCTGAAGCCAAAAGGTAGGAGCCGAAAAGTAAAAAAAAAAAAAAAAAAAAAAGATGAAGAGTTGTCCAAAATAGAGCAGTAGCAGGAAGGTAAGAGAAGAAAAAGGTCTTCATTCAATGGATATTTGCTTAGAGGTGGCTCACTGATTTCTCAGTTAAATAAACAGTGTTGAAAAGTTTAGGCCTAGGAGGTAGATTTAGAAAAGTATTGGAGTGTCTGTAGATCCAACTGCTTGTTCCATAAGACCTACAGTTGGGCCAACCCTTGGTTTAGGAGTATAATTGGATGAAAAACAGTGGCAAAGGCAGTTTGATAATTTCAGAGTTTTCTTTCCATCAGGATTTTAGAACTACATGGCAAATATTTCTGAGTGTATCTTATTTTTGGTAATGCTGATGGTTGTGATTGTTCCCTTCTGACCAGAAGGAAGTGGGTTTGTAGTCACACTCGCATTAAGACTCTAGCACAGCAAAGCAGCACAAGAAAGCTCAGTATTTTGGGGAAAAGAGATTTCTCTTGCAGTCTTTAGTGACTGTGGAGGCAAAAAAAAACCCAGTGCCTTGTTTTTCAGAGCATGATGATTGCTACTAGAGCCTCAGTGCTACTTCACCGTTGTTGTTGAATTTCTCAGTCATATGTCAGGAGAAATCAGGAATGTAAAAGTCAACAAGTAAGATCAAGTTCACTGAGTAAATAAAAAGTATGTGCTTATCAGCAGAGATCTTCCACAAGTATGTACAGCTCAAAGCATGGGCAGGATGTCTCACCAAGTGACAACTGTAATAAAAGGAAAACTAAAAAAATTCACATCATTCTTCATTCATCTGTTGCTGATAAATTTGTCAGTCTCTCCCAACATACTCTTTGTTGTCACTTCATCACTTTAAAAGCTATAAAGTTCTATAATGGACATCATTGTAGACTTAGATGATAAGAAGGGGGAAGGAAAACAACTTTATTTCTGAACTGGAGCCAGTGGAAGTGTTAGGCAAAGTCTGGGTGTTTGTTAGCGGAGGTTTGAGGTGGCATGAGAGAAGGTTGTGGGTTTCTGAGGACTGGAGTAATCTTGCTTTCCACAAGGTGTTGCTGGAAAAGAATTGATATAAGGGGGCTTTGAGATGTTCTGGTAAGTTTTAATTCAACAAAGGTGAAAATGGTATGTGAGAATGGATTCATTTTCCCTTAAAGGTTTGAACTTGGAAAAATGCTGCGTCTTTACCACAAACAGAAATCACAATCTTGAAACATTGGCAAAGAGAAGGAGCTTTGTGAAAATGCTTTTGGATGGATTTGAGGGAGTTAAATTAGATTAAATGAGTTGGTTGCAGGCTTATGACAAATGCTGAGTGTACAATTTGGTGCTTATTTTATTCAGGTACCTCTCAGTTAAAAGATTAGTTAAAAGTTAAAAGATTAGAGTCTCAGTTAAAAGATTAGAGAGATGTAAAGATGATGTTTGGTGTTTACTTGGTGTTCAAGATGAAGTTTCAGGTTTCAGTCGCATATCACAAGGAAAAAGGGAAGTATGAAATAATTTTTCATTGCTCACTAAAACAATCTCTCAGAAAATGACAAAGCAGTCTTCCCATTTCTCCCCTGACACCTGATAATAGGATGAGATCACCACTTTATCTTTTTTCCTGTTATCCATTTGGATAATTGTTACTGTAGAACTACAACTTGGAGAAAAATGCAGGGGAAAAAAAAGAACCTGTGGGGCTTGGCATGATTTAACATAATAAAACTTTAGCAAACAAGGCCAGTATTTTCAAGCTTGGTTACCTAAAATTTGATTTGCCTTTTTGGTTTTTTAATGTATGAATTGTCATCTTAATTAGGAATTCTTTTGAGATGCAGAGTATCTCTGTTGTCTTTTGAAGTTGGTACTCAGCTTTTCTGCAAACAGGGCTGTTTATCAGGTTTTTTAACATGGGGTAAGATAACTAATACTGGAATCAAAGTGACCCTGGTTTGGCTATGAGCTAACAAAGGAGAGCACTGTAACTGTCTGTAGAAGTAGGAGATAAAAAATATATTTTAGTAATTTGCAAGGATTCAAAAAGAAATTAGGCTAGGCTACAAGTGGAGCCTGTGATTGAAGTACCATTGTTGGAGATCTTACAGAGGCCCGAGGATGCATTTTAAGCAGTTATTTTATCTAGGAGTGCCAAAAAGGGAGAGGGAGGAGGAGAGAGCAGATGACTTTGAGTCCTGTTCTGTTGTAGGCACTGAGGAGAATTGCTGTCCTGGTCATTCCAAGGGACATTCCTTCTTCTACAGAGCTTCATGTTGCTCTGGAGCAATACAGAGCACATGTGATAATCTTCTCCCTGAAAGTCCCTCTCTTGCATTTTATGGCTTCAAAGATGTGGGGTGTGTTTTTAATAATTCCTGACATTCCCTGTGTTCACAGTAGATTTTCCTCTTCTCATTTTGGATTTCAGCTTTGTTTGGTGCTACAAATGAACTTACACAAAGAAATTCTAGAATCTTAGAACACAACCCAAATTCTAGGTTTGCCGTGGGCAGGGACACCTTCCACTATCCCAGGTTGCTCCAAGCCCCGTCTAACCTGGCCTTGGACACTTCCAGGGATGGGGCAGCCACAGCTTCCCTGGGCAACCTGTGCCAGGGCCTCACCACCCTCACAGGGAGGAATTCCTTCCCAGTATCCCCTCTAAACCTGCCCTCTGACAGTGGGAAGCCATTCCCCTTTGTCCTGTCCCTCCAAAATATCACTGTGTTAGCCCAGAATCATCGTTTTGAGTTTTGGAGGATATTTTATTTAAGCTAAAGAGACATTTTCAATGCACGTAACTTTCCTTTTTTCTTTTTTAGGATGTGAAACATAAAGCTGAGAAAACAGTGGTGGCAGATCAGCAGGAAACAAAGGAGCAGCTCCCAGAAAACGTTCGTGTGTTTAGGAAACTATCTCTGTGTTTATGTTAACCAGAAAGGGAGGGTTCTGAGGGCTTCATCTAATTGAAGAGTGAGGGATTTAGGAGGGAAAGGGGTTAACTGGGGAGACATTAAAATAATTTTATTGGTGGAAATTTGAAAAATGACTGCTTCTTTTAAGTATATGGCAATTGCTTATTTTCCTTCTATGAATTTTGAGGATTTAGTAAGGTATGATAATGAACAGCTAATGATAATATCCACACAGTGTGCTATTCTGTGACTGATAACTGATCTCTCTTGCTTCTGCTTTGCTTTTAGGACCTCAACGAGATCAAACAATCCAAATCTTCAACAAAAGTGCCAGTCAGCTTACAGGAGATACCCCTGGAGCCAGCACCTACTTACCTTTCTCCAGACGCAGAAGTCACCAGCCGTAATATGAACCAGTTCTTTTTTTCACAATATAGTGTTTTTTTAATACCCTAACCCATGATGGATGTTTCCATTTTGCTTTCCAGATAACTTTTACTGAGATTTCTTTTAATTTGAACTTATTTTTTTATAGTGTTTGAATTTTTCTTTCATTTCACAATTTTTGAGAGCTTGAAGGCGTCTTTGCTTGTTTTTCTTGACTTCTGTATACAAAGGTCTTGTTCCTGTTTTTGAGCAAGATACAAGTCAAGACAGTTTGGGAAATTTGTCCATTCCACGCTGCTGGAATATGTACTTGTCTGTCCTGAACTGGTCTGGATCCCTTGCCACCATGATCTGAATTGTCTAGATTTTAACTGAATTAGATGTGCTCCCAGACATTGACTCTGAGCATTTACTTCCAGAACTCAAGTTGTTCTGATTTAAAGAGTTCAGAAGCGACTCAGGGTAGTCCTCTGGTTCAGTTGTTTAAGATGAAGAGCAAAATACGAGCTTATTAGTTGTTGTTGTACAATTCCTTTGGTGGTTTTAATTTTCTTATTGTACTTTTTTATGTTCTTAGGTGTCTTTCCACCTCCCCTACCTGTGGATCCAGCAACATGTCCCATAGTTCCAGGGCAGGAGATGACTATAGAGATATCTAAGGGTCGGTCAGGCCTGGGACTCAGCATCGTTGGGGGAAAAGACACTCCACTGGTGAGTTTCTATTTATCTAATATTTGCTGTCTTTTTTAAAGAATAGCAGACAAAGACAAAGAAAACATGGAAAATAATAATGCCCTTAATGTCTAATTGCTGTAATGAATTGTTCAGGACAGGGAGGACAAACCAGCAACTCCAATCTCCCATAATAAATTGATAATTTTGCCTTGTATCGGATGAGTTGCTGTTCCTGTTTAAATTGAAAGGTTTATGTTTCAGTAATGCTTTCTGCTGTGGTCAGAGGTTACAAGTGTGTATTCTTTTATTTAACCATTGTGAATTAAGAGTTGCAAGCAGGTAAGTTTCCAGAATGGCTGGACTAGAAATTAATGTTGCAGAGGCAGAGCTGCTTCAGCAAGGTTAACACCTCTGTCTGGAGAGCAGAAATGCTTAGTAGCTGTTTAAATAAACTATGATTTATCTGCTTGACAGCAAAAGCCCTTGCTGAACAGAGGTAAACCAAAGGTAATCTTTTATTGTTTTCTGTGTCTTTTGGCTTAATCTGCCTCTTGGATATTCTGTTTATTAAAAAAATATCTTCAGATGAATTAAAACATATCAATTCAAGCGTAAGCTCAGCAGGTTGGTTGCTAAACCCTTCTCTGCCTCTGCTCTTTCTGTTTCCTCTCCCTTTTCCATTTAAGAGATGTTATGCTACAGTGTAAGAGAGTGCCAGATTGGGGTTTTTGAATGTCAAATTCAGTTCCTTCAGTAAATAATTCTGCTGCAGAGGTGTCTTTACTGGGTTCTTTTGAATCCCCTGCCACAGAGACACTTCAGGCACTGGAGCTGCTCTGGTACATGCAGTTGGTCCCCAAAATATCATAGTGGGGCATCATTAAGCCGTGAAGTGCAGTGAGTGTCAGCAGATACAGATAATTTCAATGTAGCAGTCCTCTTCCAGACCAAGAAAAAAAGAAGGAAAACAATTCAAAGGAAAGTAGAAAGGAAGTTGAAAGGAAAAAGAGAGTTTTGTTTTGCGGAGTATAGGCTGTATCTTTTACAGCATTAAAACTGAAATTGGAAAAAGTTCAGCTTTTGGTCCTGTTTATCCCAGTCTCCAATTATGCAGAATTAGGTCGAATTGCTCTGTTTCACATGAAAATGGAAATGAGTTATGTTGAAGGCTTAAATCAGCCTGTATGGTTTTCACTCTCTCCAACCATGCACAGTTTTGTCCCAGTCCCTTTTTTGTCAAGCTTCTTAGTGTTGAGTAAATTCAAATAAGTTGCTCAGTGTTAGTCATCTCCCTGATTTTTCATTTAACTGGAATTTGGAAATAATACATGGCAGTCTGTCAGACACAATATGGTGCTTGTCTTTCATGAGATTTTAATATCAATAAATGAAAATTGTAAATAACTGCTTTACAGAGCAGATGAGAAAAATGCAAAGGATTTTGTTCTTTAAATTGAGTAAATGGTTTTGGTTAAGTGTTATACTTTCATTAGTTCATTCATTAAAGTGTCCTCCTAGGAATTGATTTTAAAAATCTATGCACTTGAGTGCTGTAACTAAAACTATGAAGAGAGGGAGGTCCAACTTCCCACTTTTCTGATCCTTAACTTACAGGACTTACCAAAATGAGTCCCTGTTTCTTTTCATATTTCTGAATCTGCTCATTCAAAGGCAAGAAATGGTGTTTCATAAGGAACAATTTGCTTTTGGGAAACCACATTCTAATTCTGACCGTTTGCCATGTGCAGAGACCCTCTCTGGGATTCTCCATGACTTGCTTATGCATAACAGTCCATGCAAACCTTTCTCCTCAGGCCAGGCACTCAGGGTTGTGTCCTTAATGAGATCCCAGCATCCTCAAATAGTTTGGGTTGGAAGGGACTTTCAAGATCATGCAGTTCCAAACCCCTGCCACGGGCAGGGAATCTCCCACTGCACTGCTTTGTGCTTCTGATCTCCCCCAAATTACTTTGCTGCCTTTCCTTTTCTGCCATGAAGTCAGAAAACCTTTTGTAAAGAGTTGAAGTGAAGTTCACATGATATAACAAAGGAGTAAAAGCAAATACTCCTCAGGGCTGTAGGGAAGTTTCTGTCTTGCTGAGTTTCATGGTTTAGAGAGGAAATGTAACAAAATAGGTACATGGAGTTGAGTGATGTGTTTGTCTTCTCTCTGTCATTTGCTTTGAACTCAGTTATATAGCTGGACATCTTCTGTATTTTAAAAAAGGCAAAATAAAAGAAGTTCATCAATTCTGAAGGTCTTGTTGTGTGGCAGAAATTGTGTGTCCAAGACCAACTGTTTGCTGCAGTGCAGAGAAATTAGAATGAAGCTATAATTGGCTTCAACAGTTTGGAGTTTGGTTTTTTAGCTATTTTTGAGTTGTCAGATCAAAGTTAGCAGGGTTGGGAACGGCACCATTTATAGTCCATCTCTGCAGGCATGAAGCAGGAATGTCTTTGGTACTCTTGTAGTTCTAGTGATGGCACATACAGAGATGAGATGCTCTGATGGGTCCATGGAAAAATGCTCCATCCAGGAAGGGAAAAGTCTTGGCAGAATAGGGAGCGGGAGCAGTGTCTGTGCTGCATAGCTGAAGGAGTTTTCTCTTCTACCTTTTTTCCTCTGAGAAAACAAGACATAAACACCAACTTCTTCCTCCTTTTTCTACTGAGTTCTCTTTATTTTGTAGCTGCACAGGGGTGTAAGTGCCTACAAAACCATGAAGGATACAAACCGCTGTTCCCTTGGATCTCAGAAGTAATTTATCAGTATGGGGAAACCAGGAATGCTGCTTCTCAGAACTTGTCAAATCTAAGGTGGACATGCCAAGAGTATAAGTGTATTAAAATGCACTTGATCTAAAAACACTGAGTGCTGGTACTCAACAGCAGCTCAAATGGGATGGGAAGGCTCTCTCAGAATATTTTATATCTTTCTTTAGCACAAGATGTACATGCCCAGCTTTTGGAATAATAAATCTGGCAGCTGGGGACAGACTGCTTCAAAATGAAATATAGAGTGCAACTTTTAAGGCATAACCTCAGGAATCTCATCAGGAATCACCAAGTAGAGGCTTGAAAAATGCAGCCTATGAGCAGGGAGGTTAGCAGGGAGGTTAATTTGTTCAGGAGGTTGGAAACTAATGTCTTAACCCCTGTGAAATGGTTTTTGGTGAGATGTCCATCCTATTAAGCTCAAAACCCTTTCCAGTTGCAGGTATTCTAGGCAAGATCTGGGGTTGTGTGCTTGGGGAGCAGGAGAGCATCAGCTGGAAGGATATGTGTTTAGAAAAGGCATGGGGAAGGGAGGATTGTCCTTGAGAGTTGTCTCCATGTTGTTGATCTTCAGACTGCTATAGCCCTTAAGCAGTTCTATTTCATTTTACTCTAAGCGTTGATATTTTTTAATATTTTTTTTCTTCGCTCTCTTTCACTTCACCTTCCCACATATCCCTGAGAGAACACAACACATGGCCTCTGCTTTAAAGCAATTGAAGTGCAGAGTGGAGCTGGCTGAAGCACACGGGCTTTCAGTTTGTGAGAAGTTTTTTTTCTTGGTTGTAGTCCAATCAAACCTGTAAAACTAACCTCAGAGTGGGAATTTAATACAGAAAAAAAAAAGTGTTTTCGGAAACATCCCAAAATGAGGTTTGAGGCCCTAATGCTGCTCCCCAGGATACCTCCTGCCCTCTTGTCCCCCCTGAATTGTGTATAAATGCTTCTCAGCCCCACCACTGCTAAGAGCAGCCATAAACCTGACAGGGGTGTCATTGTTACCTGGCAGCTGCTGGTGCTCCCGGGACGCCTGAGCTGCTCCAGCTGTGGGATGCCCAGGATTCATGGCAGCTGCAGACCCCTGAGCTGGGCAGGACCTTTGTGCCTGGGCCTGAACAAGCTGTGACTCTTAGTTATGTGTGGGATTCAGCTTCAGATTTGCATTCATGGCAGCAAGCCAGTGTTGGCATGGCCAGCTATCCAGGGCTGCAGAGCCCGGGACCCTGCGAATCCAGGACAAATAACCAGCCCTGTGGGATACAGGATACAGGACTGGCAGCATCAAATAGTCCCATTATTCACCGTAGATTTAGGAAATGTCTCTTACTTATTCTGCTTTTGATTCGTTACATTCTGTATAAGGCAATTCTATATATGGCAGTTTCAAGGCAAATAATTTAGTTTCATGTAACAGGCTTTTTCCTCTGAAACTGTTTTGCCGTGAAGTTTCTATGAGATTTTCATCTTCAATCCTCAGAGAACAGGATGTAGAAGGAATTGTTTTAAAAAGGAGTCTTGGTACTCCTCCAAAATGGCACGTGGGGTGTACCCAGAGAGGTTGTGGCTGTCCCATCCCTACAAGTGTTCAAGACCAGGGGCTTGGAGTAGCCTGGTCTAGTGGAAGGTGTCCCTGCCCATGGTGGGGGGTGGAACAGGGTGGGCTTTAAGGTCTCTTCCAACACAAACCATTCCATGATTCCATGAAATCCAGACCCCATTATCACCCCAGAGTGGGTGAATGCTGCCATGTCTTGTCCAGTTAACAACTTGCAATGAGCCATTTTCTATAAACCAGGGTTGTTAATTTACAGGGATTTGATTCTTGGCAGTACATGGACAAAGCATCTCTCTAAGATGCAAACATTTTCTTAGCAGGGTGGGAGCACTGTTTTGCTTCCAGCTGAATAATTTAGTAATGGTCATGTTGATTACTGGTAATTATTGACTCTGTCTTTGCTGCCTGGCTGATTAAGATGCTCAGGCGAGCTGGAGGCGATTCAGACATTTAGAGGCTGGTAGAGGGATGTTCCCTCCAGGCAGGGTTAGAGAACCCTGAGAGGGAGAAATTCTCAGAGGCTTATCTGGGGCTTGAAATCACAGCTAAGTGCTGGAGAGGCACCCATATAAAAGGGTATAAAAGATTGCAGGGACTGTAACCTGGGGGCTCCCTGGAGGTGAAGTGGGTAGGGAGTGGTCATTGCCTGAACCTTACACAGAAAAACATACTTTATCCTGTGTCTTTTTGTTGAAAACAACAACAA